TGCCTCCGGAAGCACTCCCAAGTTTTCGGAAGCAGGCATGAATACACCTCCTCACCCCTCGCCCTAGGACAACGCGAACTGTCCCGATAGGTGCTGCCCTCTAGGCGGCAAAAATTGGCTCCAGCGGCTATCGGTCTGCCGGGTACCCGAGCGACCGACGGGGTCGGGCGGTCCACGGACCGCCCGAACCGACGGCAAGCTCGGGCCGGGCGGTCCGGTCCGAGCGACGGCAGCGCCATCGGTCCGCGCGAAACGACACGGACCGCCCAATGCAGAACACTAGTATGACCCTTTGCTTCGTCCACCCCACCCTGGTGCCCTAAATTTTCAGTCACGATGCATGGTAGTCAATCATTTTTATTAATCTTATCAATCATAATCACAATTTTATTATTCTTAATAATCAGTTTCATCTCAATAATCATTCAGGAACTCAGGGTCTCAGAGCACGTGCTGCAACAAATAAAGAAAACATCAAAATAATATCTTTCTGTGTTTGAGACAGTTTGATTATTTTTTTATTTCAATTTATCTTATTCATAATGGATGTGCTCAAAGGTGTGCCCTTGGCGAGCCAGGCATTGGCCGTACCGAGCAACGCCACATCGGTGCACCCGCTCGAGCATGGCCTCGTCCACCGTGGCGAAGACCGCCCGAATGCGATTCTTCAGCTCTTCGGGGTTCTCGGGCCTCGTGTCATAGACTCTGGCCTTGACATAGCCCCAGAAAGATATCCAATGGGGTTAGGTCAGGAGACCGGGCTGGCCAGGCAGTGGGGCCCCCGCGACCAATCCACCGTTGCGGATAGACCTGTCAAAAATAAAATTGTTAACGAATGTGGACCGGGCTAGGCGACTAGGCAAGACTGGTGCGACTCAAACAACTTACCTCGTCGAGGTGCTCCCGCACGGCACGCGCCCAGTGGGGAGGGGCGCCGTCCTGCATGAACCAGTGCGTCTCGGCCAAGTCAAGGGGCACGTTGGCCGCGTCAAGCAGGTTCGGCAGGTCCTGCTGGAGGAATTGCAGGTACCGTGGTCCATTTAGGGGCGGTCCATCAAAAAAATAGGGGCCTATGAGGTGTGTCCCTAAGATCGCAGCCCAGCAATTGACACTCCAACTAAAAATAATAATTAAAAAAACAATAATAATAACAACGATACTAAATAATAACTATAAAATGTCAGTTTTTTAAAAGGGCAAGTTTCTTACCGTCCTTGGACGTGGTTAGGTTTCATCCAATGAGGATTTTCAACTGAATAAAAGTGCATATTATGTCGGTTTATTGTTCCCTCACTGGTAAATGTGCTCTCGTCACTCCCGCAAATTTCACTTTGAAATTGGGGCCTGGGCGCCAGCTGCGCGAGCATCCAATTGCAATAGGCAATGCGATTCGCAAAGTCGTCCCCGTGCAAATCCTTATTGAGATGCACTTTGAAGGGGTGGCAGGCCGCCGACTTCAAGATGCGTCCGACGGACATGACGCTGGCCCCCAGCGTCTGGGCAATGCCCCTTTGACCTAAACAGACACAATAAAAATAAAAACATGGCTAATGTTTTCGGACGCATCCAGCGTGCCGCTGGACGAATCTTTATTTACCAGCATGGGGGTTTGCTTCAACGTGCTGTCGGACCGCTCCGCGAAGTGCCAGATCATCCACAACCCGTCAATTGCCTACCTTGGGTGCAACGAATGCACCGTGGATCCGCAGGTTTGTCTCGGTCCGTCGGAACACTGCAGGCGACGGCACCACTCTCCCGGGAAACCGCTCCGCGTAGAGCCTTCTCGCCGCACGTGGTTGGTTGTCCGCGTCCCGGTACGCAGCCACAATGTCGATCTTCTCCAAGTTCGAAAACACCATCGTCCATAATGAAGTGTCTCACAAAAACAAACTCGCACCTCGCACAGAGCTGCGACGACTGACGGCCTCGCTCCGCCTCGCTCGGTGCGTCGCCGGCCGGCCGCTCGCTCGACGCAGCGAGCGCTGCCGGCGCTTTGTTTACGTGACCCATCGTCTGCACCGGTGACACCGTCCGGCCAGCGTCCGGAGCGCCGGCGAGTGCTGCCACCTGTGTGCGACGCGTTCGAGGCTGGAGTAGCGACGAGTGGCAACCCTAGAGCGCCTCTGCGCCCGCAGACCGGCGCATAGGCAAGCCCGCCCGCGCGGCCACTGTAAATCAAATAGTGATACATCTCACTCTCTGAGGGGTGAGACATAATCGTCTCACCGAAGAAGGGTGATACTAAAATGTATCACCGAAAAACTGGTCGTACACGCACGTATCACCGAAAAAAAGGTCGTACACGAATGTATCACCGGAAAAAAGGTCGTACACGAATGTATCACCGAAAAAAAGGTGAGACATCAGCGAGATTAGCCCTTGTTTTCCTGGGGAAGTATCACCCTTTTTTCGGTGATACATTTGTGTACGACCTTTTTACGGTGATACATGCGTGTACGACCATTTTTTCGGTGATACATTCGTGTACGACCTTTTTTTCGGTGATACATTTTGTATCGCCGAAAATTGGTGAGATGTCTCACCCTTTGAATTACAGTGGCTACATGTGGGTTGCATACCTCTACTTTTGAGACGGGATTTTTGGTACACCTGGTACTAAGTGTTTCACGTTGTGACTCTCTTTCAGCTTTCTTGAATCTGTCTTCCTCATTGGTAGCGCGTCGTCGGTGAGCCTGGGGTTCCTCTGTCGAGACTTGTCTTAAGTGGCATGTTTAGAGGGAGGAAAGAACCTTGTCTGGACGCGCTATCAGGGAAAGCCAGTGGTCTTTCAACTTAAGCCAGTTAAAAGGGTGACAGATCGAGGTAGGCCTCTCATGGCTAGAGGTGAGCGAATTTTGATTTGGTTGTCAGACAGGTTCCTGACATTTTGACAAGATTTACACGAGTGTGGACATTTTTGGCCCGTACCGTTTATTTTTTGTACAAAAAATGACGTAGGGACGGGCATATAGTATGATCCCTGCTGTGCGTCCGTTCGTTCGTCCGTCCGTCCGTCCGTCCGAGGACTTCCCGTGGTCCGATCTTGACCAAATTTGGTATGCAGCCTCCTTGGGTGACCCTAAGAACCGCCCGGTGGCAGCAAATCCGATCCGAGCCCCGGGGGCGCTGCTGCAGGTGCATCATGGTCTACATGGGGTCGAGGAGGATCTCGGCAACGGATGCTGCTAGGAGGGCATGTAGGGGTATTTTTGGAATCGGGGCGACAGGAGAAAACCAATGGTGCCAGTTTCGAGCGAATCGGAGAACTTCGGACCCGGGTTCAAATCCCAGCGGTGTATTTTTTGAACATTCTTTTTATTCGAGTTTTTGTATTGTTTTTTGATGTTTTCGAGGGTGCTGATGACGAAAACGCCATTTTTTAACCCCAGACTCAGGTTTAATTCCCGTCAGGGTCAAACATAGGCGAAATTCGTGAGTTTCTTAATGTACGGGACGGGCCAAAGTTGCCGATCCTGTCATTATGCATAGTTATTCATGCACTAAGGTATGTATAATTGGTTCTTAATAATCCTGGCGAGTCTCTGATTGCCTTCTCTACAAACTCAAGTGTACACTCCACCTGGAGTGTACACGCATGTACACTTCAACCTGGAGTGTACATGCATGTACACTTCACCCTGGAGTGTACTTGGCACGTACACTCCAGGTTGGCGTGCCAGGTGGCTCATACCAGCAGCAGGGAGCCATCAACAGTGTACCTGAAGGTACACGCCAACCTGAAGTGTACATGCCAAGTACACTCCAGGTTGAAGTGTACATGCATGTACACTCCAGGTGGAGTGTACTATGTGCACACTTGAGTTTGTAGAGTTCGTGCGTTTCCTGTGAGCTGCCAAGGCCTCCGAGATCACGAAAACTAATTCACGGTGGTCTTCCGAACAACCGCTTGAGAGCAACACGACAAAAACCGAAAAAAGTGCGCTTTGTCTCGATTTTCCTTCATGTCCCATATTACCCCGTTCCACGGTATTTTCATATCACTCAAACCCAGTGAAAACCGACGTGTCCGGAATTACCCCACGCTGCCTTAGAGAGTGCTTGCAAGCACACTTCAGGCTGAAGCGTGCTTTTTGGTTCATTCCCTGAGGCAGTCCCTGGGTTTCTAGAGCATGTTAAGGTCCCTTTCAACGCACATGTCTGTAGAGTGATTGTGAATCAACGTAATCCCCAAACTAACTTTTCGCAGGCATCATCGGGCAGGCATGGGTTGAGAACCGATCAACTATGCGCAACCACCAGGCGGGCAACTTTCGCACTGCCAATCCAAGTGTGAGACAGTCTCACACTTGTAGGTGTGGGACATTTTGTCTCACACTTGCAAGCCTGAGACAAACGTGGCTCACACATGTAAGCATGAGACAAAATGCCCCATACCTACAAGTTTGAGAATTTCTCGCACTTGGATTGGCAGTGTGCAGGAGACAAAGAGTAACGAAATAGAACGATTTTCAGCACCTTTGGTTAAAAGGTGAAAGATCAAAGATGTGGAATTGAAACCGGATGATGCACACTATATATTTCTGTACAAATTTTGTACGAGACATCACAGTTTTTGGCGCTCAAAACATTTTCGGACAAATTTGTACTTGATTATTTACATAATTTAAATAATTGGGGAAATTTGTGCACAAAAATAATTGCATTTTTTTTTGGTACAAAATGTGCTTAAAAAGTGTGTGTACAAAAAACTGTGATGTCTCGTACAAAATTGTACATTGAAGAAAGTGAATGGAAATGGATCATCTCAACGAGATGAAAAGGGGTGTCAAAGCAGACCTACTGGACTTTGCATACGCAGAAGCTGTTTTCGTTCTTTCTTTTGCTCTTTGACTTCCGGTCCAGGGATTCCATAAAATACCCTTCAGAGAAATATTGAAAAGCCACGAAACAGAGGTTCCGTTATGAAGAAATGGCTTTGAACTGGCCTGTTGAACAACCAACGATCCGCCAGGATGATACTCCCTTACAATATTACTCACCTGAGGAGTATATACGTTCAGGACCAAACAATCCTCGCCCATTTTCAGGTCTGCCAAACTGCCTCCAGTTAAAAGACCAGGTAACTTTTCCATAACACTTTGCGCCGCATCTGGTGGCTTCTCGGTTAGGTAGGCCATGTCGCAAAGGAAAAAAAATTGAACTTTCCACTCATGTCGAGGGGTCCTATTCAAAAGATCTTATCTGCGCGTTCCCCCCAAGACAATCTTATCTTCAACGCATGCGGATTTCACCCAGTTTGACCAGTTGGGACACGTACGAGAGTAAGCGGAATATATTTTTACATGTACTGTTTGGTTTCTTTGATCTGTCATCTCCACATTTCAGTGAATTTTATCACAAATGATATTGATTTGTAGCTGTATTAAATGATCAAACTGAGTGAAATTAACCTGCGTTTAAGATAAGATTGTCTTGGGGGGAACGCGCAGATAAGATCTTTTGAATAGGACCCCTCGATGTGTGGACATACTTCATCCATATAAGAGATCTCGATGGGATGAGGATTCTTTCCGTCTTTGAAGATCGTTTACTTCTGTTGATTTCCTTATTTAATTTTGCATGTAGCGCGCATAAACCTCATTATATTCCTATCATATAATTCGTTATACTTTCACCATGTTATACTACACTGAAATGAGACCCGTTTGTCAATACTTTTCGTTGATGATGGACTTTATCGCAGTCGAGCAACGGGCGGAAAATGCTTTGGCAAAGTGAGCTTGCTGTCGTTCTGTTATCCGCGTACATGGGCTAAAGAAAGCGAGCAAAGTAAAAACTCATTCCATTTGGAATCAGCACAAAATGTTCTCAGTACGCTACTTACTAGGGTGGAGTGAAAATCTGGGATCTAAAAACTGGTCACGGGCTAAAGTACTTGAAGATATCCGAAGACTAGCTGCAATGCCCAATTTGACCCATCGGACCCCCTCCCAACCCCCGAGGGGATCCAAAGTGGGGTCTGTGTGGCAAAATTGACACTTTTTTTAACTAATAGCGGCCAAACCAGGCATCATTTCCAAAACGGCCCAAGTCAGGAAGATGCGGAATTTAATTACGAAGAGAATGGTATATGATTGAAAACTGTAGGATCACATCCTACACTTGGCCATTTTAAGCGGAAATATTCATTTTCTTAGACCAAGATCAGCCCTCAGTGGTCCCAAATCACACCCTCCTGCATAATTCGACGAGACAAGAAGATTTTGCTTTGAACATTATTATCGGGAACCTATAATTACTGAGATACGGCCTGCTCAAAGTGGGATTTTTGTTGAAATTTGGCCTGGAATTGGGAGCCTCATTCGTAGGAATAAGTAATTGGCAAGACTGCCCGTTGTCCGTTTCCCAATCACTTCACTACAAATCCAAAAGTCAGACTTCTCGCCTGGCGAGACATAAAAGTCTCGCCAAGTTTTGGTCAGACCTGAAAGTCTCGCCAAAATTTGGCCGGACAAAAAAGTTTCACCACAAAACGGTCAGACACAAAAGTCTCGCCATGTGTCTGACCGCCACACAGTGGGCGGAATGACCACTTTCGACAAGAAAAAGTCGAAATGTTGCGATGTGTGTATGAAAATTCGTATCTGAGGGTTTTAGGGTCATCTAAACACGTTTCTGAAGTTAAAAAACTATTGGACAGCAATTTGACATAGTTTACTAAATGACCTAAGTACAACTTTTGGGTAATTTACATGAAAAACTTCTTTTTCTTTTCAAAATTTATGTAGAACAAACAAAAACATTTTATTCTTCTGCGGAGGGAAGGAAAGTTGCCCTTCGCAGAAGAATAAAATGGTTTTGTTTGTTCTACATTAATTTTCATGTAAATTACCCAAAAGTTGTACTTAGGTCATTTAGTAAACTATGTCAAATTGCTGTCCAATAGTTTTTTTAACTTCAGAATCGTGTTTAGATGACCCTAAAACCCCCAGATACGAATTTTCATGTACCTATCGCGACATTTTTCTTGTCGAAAGCGGTCATTCCGCCCACTGTGTGGCGGTATCTGTAGTGAACGAAACGCGATTTTGCCGCTGCGCGCTCACACAAATCGGCCAAGAACTTCCGTTTGCGCAGCTATGCGCAGCTAATTTTTTTTTCCTCATGAAGTGCACACTAAAACCTATCAAATGCGCGCAGAGCGGGCGCCGGGTAACCTCAGGCTTTTTTCTACGCCCAATACGAAAATATTTTTTTATGTTTATTTACAAAGTTTGCTAAAACACACGCAGTTTTGTCATTTCTCAACCAAATGCGTTTCCGAAAACAGTTTAAGATTCGCGAAGGCATGCCCTTTCGAACGATATACTTGGATTTGCTTGTAACTACTTAGGTGCAGGAGAAAAACGTCTGTTAACATGGGTGTTGTTATAGTGAAAAAACGTGCAAAGGGCGTTCGCAGACTTTGACGTGGCGCACACGCAAAACGAAGACTCGTATGGAGAAATAAAAGGCAGATTTAGATTCAGCAAGCATTTTTCAGTCAGGAGAATGTGTTTGGACACGTAAGAAAAATATTTGGAACTCGGACTTTTTCTTGTCGAAAGCGGTCATTCCGCCCACTGTGCGCCACCCAAAGGCCGTAATGCGCCGGACGGTTACTGCCGAAAAGCCGGGGCCAGACACAAAAAAACTCGCCATTTTGTGGTGAGACTTTTGTGTCTGACCGTTTTGCGGCGAGACACTTTTGTCTGACCAAATTTTGGCGAGACTTTCAAGTCTGACCAAAACTTGCGCAAAGTATTTCCATCCAATTTGCAGTGTTTCCGGTTAAAAGTACAGAAACATGAAGATAGGAATCTTTTGGCTTGAGAATTTGGGAGAAACAACTAAAACCTTTCGCGTAAACCCCGTAAACCTTGGCGGTTATGGGCTCTAAGGAGAGTTCATCTATTGATACACAACTAATGTACAAAAATCAAAACTGGAATACAAATAAGAAAGAAAACGCGTTCTCTTTGCTTGTTTCATCAATTTCCTTGGGGTACACGGAGAAAAGGAGTTAGTCTTTTCGATCAAAATGGATTGGTAGTTGAAATCCGGCCGTGAAAACCATTCATCTGATTGCGGCAACCAACCATTTTTGGCAACACATCCATCAGCTGATCGTGATAACCTAAAGTTCGTCTGATTCGACTGGGGCACAGCCTATCGAGTAAGTCGATCCCTACGACCGAATCCTGACTCCACCACACAAATTTACAAGAAACCCTAAAAAGCTTATTGAAAAGTAAAAAAAACAACAACAATGAGTCATTCTTATCGGGTAACAATACCATGTGTTTTATGAAATCGGTTACGAGCCGGCCGTGTTCGTTCACGAGTGGCACCCGGAATACTTTGGTACCAAACCCCTGAAAGCACATGGACCCTTCTTTGGTTGCATCCCGAGTGCCACTCCAGGGATCGGCGGGCTGTGGACCCTGCAACAATAGAAAAAAAGTGCATAGTCCAGGTGCACTGTGGCAAAAAGCTGCGAAAAATTCTGTTAACAGATTGTGGTCATCCTACTCGTGTAAATCTTGTCAGAATGTCAGAAACATGTCTGAAAACCTGATCAAAATTCGCGCACCTCTGAAATCGGAAAACATCTCCTGACATTCTGTAGAACTCAAACCATCAATATCAGAGGACAGAACTTCAGCTTTCAGAGGTGCGCGAATTTTGATCAGGATCTCAGACCTGTTTCTGACATTCTGACAAAATTTACACGAGTGGGCCTCCGTAGCCCTCTTGTCAATATTCTCCGTAGGGCCGTACAATCCTGACCGTACAGTTCCGTAGGACCTTACAGTGATCTCCGGAGGACTACTATACAGTCTTTCAGGTCCTACGGAGAATACTGTGCGGTCCTACGGAGGATACTGTAGGAGCTTACGGAGAATATTGATACATGGGCTACGGAGAATGTTGGCAAAAAAAATTTGACAGAATTTTCCGGAATTTTCCGTACCTTTTGGCCACAGTGATGCACTGTGGCGAAAAAGCTACGGAAAAAATCCGCTAATATTTTGGTTAAGATTCTCCGTGGCTCTCCTATCAACATTTTCCGTAGGATCTCCAGGCACGGAGATCCAGCCGTAATCCTCCTCAATTGAAAGGTTCGTGAAGTATTGCAGCTTGTGATCTATTCTGAAATACATATGAATTGTTCTGTACTGACGTTTCTAATGAAAATTGATCGCCAGGAACAGACTTTCTTTACTGCTGCGCATATATCCCTCATAGCAGCAGTTCTTACTTTGAATCGAAGCTGGCCGACGGGAGGTTTGGCATACGGAACACCCAGGAAAGATGAAAATGTTTTCCCGGATTTCGATACACCTCGAATGCCTCGAAGAAAGCCCCCGCGGACTCGGACAGTGGGATCTGTAATTGATGACAGGAACACAAGCAACATAATTGAGACAACAAATTAACTGAATAACCTAATTTGATCCCTCTCAAAACCTTGCCGACGGTTTCAGGCCTTACGAAAAGCCACATTGTCAAAACTAGCTTGAGCATAAAAAGGAATTCAACTAGGAAATTAACAAAATTACTTCATTCAGTGTTTGCTATCGGTCTCACAGGCTCCGGCAGTCAGGAACCAAATTTCAACGAATTTGATGAGCGTATGTTACCGGAAAAGCCCGCAGCCCAGGTAAACCTGAGATTGCCTAGGCAAGGTTAGGTGTGCCCGTTTCAATTTCGGAAATGTTGAAATATTAATATCCACCTATCATTGCCTAGGATAATTTACGCCCAACTAAGATTGCCGAAATGGCCGTCGGCATTCTTAGGTTGACAAAACAAGATTACCGGATATCCTATGCTTACCCTCCACTCTCTCCTCCCCTCACCCCCCTCCCTGCCGTGTTGCTGGCTGTGTCGGTTGGACGAAATATGCTTGACGTGCGACAGGCCGCTGCATAACTCCTGTGGACTCGAGGAAGAATGTTCACTCTGCCACAAAGCTGCGTCCATCTCGATCCATCAGGCTTCTTCTAGGGAGCACCTGGTGAGGCAGGCTGCGAAGATGCTCAGAAGAACTGAGTTGGAGTTCCCTCCACTCACCGTTGGGGACACGGTGACTGTGCCCATTCCGAGCCCCGACCGCGCACGTGGGGATCCGCGTAACGTCGTCGGTGTCGTTGTCGAAGTAACTGATAGAGGTCTTTTCAGAGTAGGGACAACTAAAGGCACATGTGAAACTCTTTTCCCACGAAATGGACTCTCACTCTGTAAGGAAAAATTTCTGTCTTTGGACCAAGTTTCAGGCAGGCTCGTTTCCCTGAGAGGTCTTGCGTCTGCAGCAAGCCTTTCTGGCGGACAAGGATTCATTAAGTGTAATTGCAAGACTGGCTGTAAACATGGAAAATGCAAATGCAGAGCCAAAGGCGTAAAATGTAATTCTAAGTGTCATGGGTCCATTTCATGCTCCAACAAGTAGTCTGAATTTCTGAATTTAATTTAAATTTTGTAAATTGTTCTAATAAACTTTAACTCTTAATCCTGTTTTGTCAAGCAACTGTAGTTAATAAACTTTGTAAATTGTTCTAATAAACTTTAACTTTTAACTTTTTTACTTTTTAACTTTTGTCAAGCAACTGTAGTTGATAAACTTTGTAAATTGTTCTAATAAACAAACTTTTAATCAGGTAATCTTGTTTTGTCAACCTAAGAATGCCGACGGCCATTTCGGCAATCTTAGTTGGGCGTAAATTATCCTAGGCAATGATAGGTGGATATTAATATTTCAACATTTCCGAAATTGAAATGGGCACACCTAACCTTGCCTAGGCAATCTCAGGTTTACCCGGGCTGCGGGCTTTTCCGGTAACACGTACAAACAAACTGACCCGACTTCCCTCCTTGTCGCACACTTTCCCAGAGTCCTGGAGTTGTAGACACTTGCTGAACGACAGCCATCCAGAAAGTGAAGTATGCCACCTGCCACCCAACTGGAAAGGAAACAACAGAGCACACTGCAAATACAAGTGTGAGACGGTTTTAAACTATGTGGTGCGAACCGTCAAACCTCACGCTTGCAAGCACTGTAAATCCAAAGGCAATACTTATAGCACCTTTTTTGGCGATACAATTGAGTATCGCCAATAAACGGCCTTACGGAAAAGTATTGCCTTCAAAACGGCGATACACTAAAGTATCGCCAAAATTTGGCGATACTTTGGAGTGCTGCCACGATTTGGCAATAAACGTCGAACAAATCAAGGAGAGAAGACCTTGGTTTAATGCCGTGGTTTTGGCAATATCGAAAAGTATTGCCAAATTTTGGCGATACTTTTTTGTATCGCCGTTCTGAAGGCAAGACTTTTCCGTAAAGCCGTTTATTGGCGATACTCAATTGTATCGCCAAAAAATGTACTTTAGTATCGCCGTTGCATTTGCAGTGAGTGTGAGTCACGTTTCTCCCACGATTGGAAGTGTCTTCGACGGATCGGATGCCTTCGTCTCGCACTTGCAAGCGTGGGTGCTGTGGAATAGAACCACAAGGGAATCGAGAAGGGAATCATAGGCAGCAAGTGAGGGACTATAACCGTGTCTCACATTTGTAAGAGCCAGACAAACGGGGTATCATACTTGCAAGCGTGGGACAGACGAGGCATCTCTCTTAAAAGCGTAAAAATCTTATTTAAAGGTTCAGACTGCTAAGTCTTTCAAAATTGGTCCGAATTTTCAGATTTAAATGAAACAGGGAATTGAATTCATCGTTGCTCTGGGTTCGACTTTTCTTTACATCGGGAACGTTTCCATTTGGGAAGCCTCGAACCCGGTAAGGTTCCCCAAGATCCTTAATGTCTGGAGAAATATTCCCACCCATTAAAACACTGCTCAAAATGGCCTGCAAAAGCTTCACTCGTCGCACCTGACATCGCAGGACAGGACTGAACACGATGCGTCTGATGACAACGACGGTGGCCAGGACACCGCCAACGCGGCAGGGGATTTTCATCCAAACAATGAGCAGCAAACAGTAGGCAAAGTCGAGAGGCGCCACCAGAATTATTTCGAAAGTCGTTTTTGTCGCTGTCTCTCGCACCAGAGCGGGCCGCCCCACAAGTGTGACAGAGAGAGCGACGAACACGACTCTCGGAATCGGTCTGCGGGCCGGACGTGACCCGCCGCCCGGCAGGGTGGAGGGGGAGACGGCAGCAGTGACGCAGGAAAGTGCGAGAGGCTAAAAATGCTTTTTTAATGTTTTAGTGAAAGTCATACCGACCGATAGACACTGCAAAAACAAGAGATAAATGCATTATTGGCTGAGCGATAGCGAAGCCCGTTTCTCCAGTGCGGTTGAAAAGTTTTGTCTGTCTGTGTGTGCCGATCTGGCCGATCTGGCTGAGATTTTGCAGGCTCATTAGGTATATTCTTGGCTCGGCACACGCGAAATTTGACTACACTGCAAATGCAACGGCGATACTTAAGTACATTTTTTGGCGATACAATCGAGTATCGCCAATAAACGGCTTTACGGAAAAGTTTTGCCTTCAGAACGGCGATACAAAAAAGTATCGCCAAAATTTGGCAATACTTTTCGATATTGCCAAAACCACGGCATTAAACCAAGGTCTTCTCCCCTTGATTTGTTCGACGTTTATTGCCAACCGAAAAACACCTAAAAAGCGGTGAAAAATCGAGTTTTCTGCAGGCAGATCAATGCTGTCTTGAAGAAAGGGGGATCTGGGGGGCGGAGCCCCCCAGCCCCGACAAGTTAGAAAGTTGCAAAGGTCAAGATCGTGGTATCTGTAGATGAAGCATCTCTATCTAGGATTAAGGGGGGTCTTGGGGGCAGCGCCTCCCAGCATGCAAGAAGTTAGAAGTAATGGGCGATAAACAAGCCAATGCCTGCCGAGAGCAGGCTAGCGCCGCAGGCCAAGGTAGGTACGCCAGGCGCGGATTGGAGGAACAGGCAGCGAGACATCGCGAAGCCTGTTACGACAAGACGTGGTCTGGCGTAAACCTACCTTGTTAGGTGTTTGAGCTCAAAATGCCCAGTTGCGCATCGCTTCCCATGTTTTCGAGGGAGCAGACGAGGAATATTTGTCAGACCCCCGACTGAGGAATCCTTAGTCGGGATCACAATCCCGTGCAGGACAATGCCAACCTAGATTCTGAAATTAACTAAGACAATAGATCTTACGTAGCCTGA